GGTTTTTTTTTCTGCCTTTTTCTTTTTTTTTCTTTAAACCTTTTGGATTTTTTTTTTTTTTTTTTTTTAAATTTTATCGTATTTTAAACATTTTAAATTTGTATTCTGAATTGATTCTATATATATTTATACTGTATGATGTTTTTTATTGTAAATTCAACTATGTTTACTTAGTTGCTAAATAAATAAAGAATTAAAGAATTTGAATTTGAATTATATATATATATATTGAAGTATAAGGTTCAAGATCGTCTGGAGTAGAGTACTCGATACCGGGGTAGAGCTAAATACAAAACAAATCGAAGGCAAAACTTGATTACTTCATATTATTTAATTCCACTACAACCACACTCTTCAGGCGGATGTGTAGAACTGATGTTATTTCAAGGAAAACTTATTTCACTGTTCCCTGGACACGATTACCAATACGATTACATCTTGTATATGATGCCAAGACAAAATAATTAAATAAGATAAGATAAAATAAGATAATTATATTCACTCACAACACATCAGTTATCTTACAAATTCGAATGACACTCGTTTTGCGTTTAAAGCACATAGGCCTATGCACTCAAATTTTCCCCATAGGCTGGGCTCCAAGGGCAATACAATTTGTTTTTTTTAAGGCATATTTCGTGACGGATCATCTACGTTCCATCGATGAACCCTTCGTGTGAAAATTTCGCATATAACAATCAATAGTTTGCGTCAGTGGACCAATGGGCATAATCTGTGTGTGTATGACCTATATTTGTTCATGACCGTTTCTTGCCTTCTAAATCTAAAATATTTGTTGCTTTAAATTTTAAGTTTGCCCCTGAAAATTGAGTTTATCTAAGAGATAGTAGGCCTATTCCATACTTGGCAGAGGCCTCTAATTTAACAAAGCATCCAGTGAGCACAATGGTCTTTTATATGAGTAGGCCTACGGCCTACTTTAGTTGCAGAATATGTAATCAAAGCGTAGGTTAGCTTCCTGAGCTCCGATTTGTTGCGCATTTTTCGCTTCGCAAAAACTTCGATAGGAATGTGAATGCGCATGCACATGAACCGATGATTCGTGCGAATAATCGCCTAGTGGAAAACATGCTTTAAGAACCAGGGATATATATGCCTACACTAAAACCTCGAATAGAAGCCCCAGGCTTCTTCTTTTTTCTTTGCGACCTTTGGAGATGGGCTTCTTTTCGAGGCTACTTTTGCCAATAGGGGGGAGGGGGGCTTTTTTTCAAAATGTAATGCTGTAAATTTTTGGAATTACTAATATAAAATGATAAATTGTGACACTGTAGCATCAGTCTGTCATGGAGTGTATTAACCGGCATTAAATCACCTAAGCTGCTGCATAAACCAAGCGTGTTTTCAATTTTGTAGGCCTACTGTACTATCTCGAAAATAAGCCCATGCTATCTCGAAAAGATGCCCATGGGCTTCTTTTCGAGATAGGCTTTTCTTTAGATTACCAGAATACTGTATTTATTTTTTGTGTTTGTGTTAGTTAATAAGTCGGCCTTTTGGCTACTTTAGTGTTTTAACCCCAGAATTCCTTTATGTGATTTTTGATAATGGATTGTACGTGAATTCTAAATAAATAAAAACAAAAAAAGATAATAGGCAAACTAAAGAGGAGGACTTTAATTCGAGATGGGCTTCTTCTCGAGATTAAACCCATTGGGCTTCTATTTGAGGTTTTACTGTATAATATAAACAAAATTAATATAATAACACAGTACTGTACCATATCGAAAAGAAGCCCACACTATCTTGAAAAGAAGCCCATCGAGATGGGCTTATTTTCGAGGCTACTTTTGCAAACTAAAGATGAGGACTTCAATTCGAGATGGGCTTTTTCTCGAGATTAAGCCCATTAAGCCCCATTATATTTCATTATGTATTTTTTAGCTTTCAAATGAAATTTTTGACAAGAAATATTAGTTACTTTAACATATACAAAACAATCTACTGTACATATTATTTATTTATATATATTTAGTAATCTATTTTCTTGTAGATTATTAAAAGGACAAGACCAACATGGGGTGTAGGTCTTCTAAATGTACAAATGTGATTACGTCTGAACAGTCACCAAGTTCGAAAGACGATCGTGGTGGCCATAAAACAAAACATAATAAAAACCAGGAAAAAACACTTGAAAGCAATAAGGATGCTCAACCATCACAAACACAAACACGTGAACTGGATAACAAAGTTTCGACGACCGGCAATAGGAAGAACATTGGGCCTACTGATGGAAGTAAAGACACAAATGAACTCGTCCTTTATAATGAGGTGTGCAAAGCTTTTCCAAGACCAGCACCACCTCCAGTTGATGCAAAGGTTGATCTGAACGAGTTCTTTTCGCCAGAACTAAAAGCCATCTACCCTGGATTCGATGCTATGACACGTCTTGATGATCATGTTGAAAAGGTATTGAAAAAGTATTGGTCCAAATATGATTCACGAAATCGATATATAGCCATTTAGAACAATATAGGCCAAAGCATTATAAATACCAGCAACTGTACATATACTGTATGTATATACAGTACACCTTTATCCCATTGTCGTAGAGATATTTCAATATTCTTCATTGGTCTTCATTCTATTTGGAAATTGGAAATTTAGGCTGAGCGCCTAGGGACCCACGGCACTTCGCAGTGCAGCGCCACCCGACTTAACTACAACATGGACACATACGGTTACAAACATTGTCCTTAACCCGCCTAACTCTCAATGAGCGACCCGACTCCAATTAAAACCACTGGCCAGGTTTGAACCTGGGTCATCAGCACAAGAAGCAGGAACAATTATACCTCTCTCAGCCAACCGCTAAGCTTTAGGGTAGGGTGGTATTTGTTTTCCTTCTAGAAGAACTGCAATCACAATAGACCTATAATATATGTTTAATCAACAAATCCGACGACTGGTCCATGGTTTTCCGACATAGTAGGAGGGGGAGATGAGAGATAGGCCTACATGCAAATCTTCGTGAAGCATCCTCACTTTTTATTTAAGAACCCGTCTTTTTAATGATGTTCAATTTAATTACTTCATATTTACAAATAATTTCAGTAGTTAAGTTCATTGCCCTTGACAACTCGCACCGATCCTTACTTGAAGTGGTGCCACCAACTTAGCAGTACACTGTAGTAGAATAGAGCCGCAGGCTTATATTCTCTTTGAAAGATAACGGAGCCCAGCATACAGATGCCGAGGTAGGCATACTTGCGTGTACACGGTAGTGATGGCGACACCATCTCAAAATAGAGGGTACGTACCTTCTGTACCGCCTGTTCAATAATTAACTTATTGTAGTTTTTTTTTAGTTGTTTTAAGCGCCTTGAGACAGTTTATATTGTGGAAAGCGAAAGCGCTATAAGGATGCATGACCACTGAGAGTGGAAATTCTCTTCACCTTCGATCCTCACTGGTCTCACATTGCCTTACTGATACTTTTATCAGTATGATCAATTCAATTTATTTTTTAAGTATATTTTGAATTTGCAGACACCAAAACCACTGAAGCAAAACATTAAACGTTTAGTGGAATATCTTTTGGAAATCACGTCAACGGAGTACGATAAGGCACGCGTTATAATACGCTGGGTTGCGACCAACATCGCGTATGACATAAACTTCTTGAACACTGGTAACCGTCCGGACTCTTCAGCTGCACAAGACGTGTTGATAGAGGGCTCTGCTGTCTGCGAGGGATTCGCAAACTTAGTATTGGAAATGTGCCAGTAAGTAACAATGTGGCAAAAAAATCTACCTAAACATGAGTGAATTAAGTGATACCGGTACTGTCACAAAGCTGTGCAAAAAGTAAAACGTAAATGTAAACCTTTGTCGATAGTAAACAAAAAAGTACAGGTTTTTACATTCTCATTTTTGAAGCTCACACAACAGGTGCGTCGGAAGCAATTTTTATTGGTCTGGCCAAATGCAGTTTTAATTATTCAGTAAATTCTTGTTTTATTAATGGTGCAGTCAAATAACGTACCAGATGATGAACTTAATATTAAAAAGATTCGTTTTAATATACATTAAATGTTTAATAGTTTAGATTCGACTTCGGTTTATTTCATAAAGTCACATATTCACATGTATGATTACAATAGAAAATTTAAAGTATGTCTAAAACATATTTCTGAGTCTGATTCCGGAAGATTATTATTTATGTGGTGAATCAAATCATGATAAACTATAGAACTATGCTATTGATACTTAACAACAGTTAAAAAAGGACCGCTATCGTCACCAGGTGATTGGGCGCGCATGACCAATCCAGGGTACAGCAAACTATAATTCAAACAGCTTAGGGTGGGGTACTAGTACATTTAGACGATGTTAACTGGTTTTTTTGTAGCTTGAAGTCAGGTCATTTAATTTTGTAAAAAGAAAAGAGGTTGCGTCAGAGGAAGTACAATTTGGCTTACAAAAGATATTGAGTTGTAAAGTATTGGTCCGGCCAACACCGAACAAGCCGGACCGCCCTTGTACAATCATTGGTATCATTTGAGACTAATGATTTAAATTTGACGTCATCAGGAATTATTGTATCACTTTTTGACGATTAATCCATAGGCTTGCCGGCTTAACCTGTGAAAAAATCAGCGGTCTAGCCAAGGGATCTGGTTATAAGATTGGTGATGATCTGGTCAATGGAGAAAATTCGAGTAAGTTGAGACACGCCTGGAACCGGATCAAGATATCAAACAGGTGGTTTCTATTTGATGCCACCTGGGCATCTGGACACTCAAGTATGTAGGCTCATTTCAGTACATTAAAACATATACCTCCTTTTTTGATACCATTATCACTACCATTCCAGTACCACCACTACCAGAACCACTAGTCAGCAGTGGCGTCG